TAGCAGTCCCTGGTACCCTCAATACTCTTCTCCAGCACCACAGCTCAAAGGCATCAATTCTCCTTCTATCCTCCTTAGTCATTGTCCAACTCACTGATGCATAACAAGTGATTGCAAAGACCATGACCTGTATCAGACGCACCTTAGTCTCCAGAGTGACACCATAGCTCTTCAGTACTTTGGAGAGGTCCCTAACAGCAGACTTTCCCATTGCAATGCGTAAATGGCAAGAGTAAATACTTGTGATAAATGAAAGACAAAATATTACTATCTGAGGAATATTTGTACACCAGTAAGAATAAGATTGTTCATTAGGAAAAAAATAGGTAAAGGTTCACAGTACAGGATAGTGGGCAGTAAGCACATAAAAAAATATCCTGTATAGGAGACGCTCTCATTACCAGTTCACCACAATGAAAGATCCGTACTCTGGTTCTCTGGAAGGTACTGACGGTACGTTCCCTGGTGAGTGGTGAACATCTTCTGCAGAACACACTTGTGTGTCATCTCCCTCAGTTAACTGTTTGCTTGTTTAGTATCTGGTTTTTAGACCCGTTTGTACTAGTTGAATGTCATTGTAATTATGTAATTGGGTTAAATAATGCATAAGCCATTGAAACACAGATGTAGAGAGAGCAGTTTCCGTGAAAGTTGAATTGAATGCTTTGGAAACTCTCGATGAAAGCACATCACTAAAAGCCTGCTGTTAAGTGAAATAACATTAAATCCAGCACTCCAATTATTTCACAAGAATCTTTACAATCTCACTTCACTTAAGAAATCAGAATAGAGAATCTTCAGTGTGCCAGTGAGCTGTGGTGAATGCAAGAAGGTCATGAGAAGCAACTGCCATTGGTTTCTTAAAAGGAAGAGCTTTGTTCCTACACCATGAAACGGAAGAAATACGTGTAACTAGTCAATATGCTCAATATGAGTGTATCATTTTTATGTCACTCTACCTTAATTCAATTTGTCATGTGACTTCCAGCCCAAATGATAAATATGGCTAAATATGAATTTTATTACAATCAACACTCTTGGAACCAGCAGCCAGCAAATCAAAAGATGGATTGCATTGGGAAAGTCTGTTGTCAGGTACCTCTTCAGAATACTGAAGAGCAATGAAGTCAGTCTGGAGACTAAGATTTGGCTGATCCAGGCCATGGTCTTCACAATTACGTGCTATGCTTCGGAAAGCTGGACAATGACTAAGGATGATAGAAGGAGAATTGATGCCTTTGAACTGCAGTGCTGGAGAAGAGTATTGAATATACCTTGGGCTGCTAAGAGAACGAACAGGCTTATCTTGGAGAGGGTGAAATCAGGCTGCTCCTTGGAGGCAAGGATTCTGAAGCTCAGTCTGGCATACTTTGGGCATGTTGCAAGGAGAGACCAGTTCTTGGAGAATGACATCATGTTTGGGAGGGTGGAGGGACAGTGCAGGAGAAGAAGACCCTCGATGAGATGGATCAGTTCAGTGATTTTTGTAATGGAGATAGGTGTGTCAGAGAGAGTAAGATTGACTCAGGATATAGCAGGGTTCAGAGCTGTTATACATAGGGTCACTAAGAGTTGCAAGCAACTCAGCGGCACATAACAACAACATAATTAGGAAAATACAAATTAAATAATATTCTATTTTTTTACCTATTGGATCAGCAAACATTAAGTTGGACAATACCACATTTTTTCATTATTGTAGAGAAATGAGTATTCCCCCCTTTTTCCTCATTTTTGCACAGTCCTTCATATAAATTATATTTTTTTCATGTACATTGTGTTTATAAAATCATTCATATGCATTGTGTTTTATAGAATGAATTGCCATCAATTGATGCCTTTATCAGCACATCCCCATTGTTCCTTGCCCATTCTACCTACCATCATTCATCCACTAGTCTCTGCTGCCCTAGTAGCTCCCCCCTTTCTTCCTTCTCCCTTCTCTCCTTCCCTTTCC